TTTTGAGAGAGAGCGTGTGCACACTTTCCAATGGGGGAGAGGGGCAGAGAGAGAGAGAGAGAGGAGAGAGAGAATCTCAAGCAGGCTCCACACTTAGCACACATCCTGATGCGGGGCTCGATCACATGACCCTGGGATCATAAGTTGAACCAAAATCAAGAGTCGGACACTCAACCAACTGAGCCACTCAGGTGCCCCATAGGATGACCTGGGGAACTTTAAAAAGATACTGATACTTGGGCCCTATCTTCTAAGATTTGGGGCTCAACCATGGGCATCAATTGTTTTTTTAATGCTCAGAGGATTCTAATGTGAAGGCAAGCTTGAGAACCACCACACCATATTAATTTTTCACATCTCAGAGCCTAATAATGAACTGGAAAAATGATTACTTCTCATTTTAAAGTTGGCTCTTTTCTGTTTATTAAAGTGAGAATCACTCATATTGAAGAAGTTCGTATCTACGCTTTGTTACCTGGTTCCTGGAACGTCTAAGGCTGAGTGACTGGAATCTTTCAGCTGGGTGTTCCCTTTACCCTTACTGATCTCTTGTTTCTCTTTCTCTCTCTCTCTCTATACATCCTCCATGCTCGCAAACTCCTCATTCATCGTTCCGCAGCCTGGCGGTCACTTGCTCCAATAACCTGTACTGGACACTAAGGCTAGACTTGACCACCCAGCCACCCCACCCCCTCCTCCCTTAGCAGTCTACAATTCTTTCCAAAATTCAAGTCTGTCTCCTGTGCATATGCTCGTGAGACCCTCGTGATGTTTATCTTCGTCACGTATGCAAGTACCTAACAGTGCCTGCCACACAAGAGATGTTTAACTTTCAGTAGACATTTACTGACTTCATGAGAAGCAATACTAGCGCTGAGAGTTGAGAAGCATGTAGAATAGTGAGAAGCTCCCTCATTTGTTTCACAAGTGTTTACTGAGTGTGAATAGGATAGCTTCTGCTTAGCAAATAGGTTAGAACTTCGTTAAGACATGCAGGCAGTTCTAACGGACTATGACTGGATATCATGGAATACCGCTAAGTACTCTGGCATCGAAGGGAGGTGGCGGTACAGGAGTGTGCAACACTTTGGAGAAGTTGCTTAACCATAGCTGGTCTCGGTTTTTGCAACTGTAAAATGGGAATGATGTAGAAATGAGATATATCGTTGTTGTTGTTTTTAAGTAAGCTCTACACCCAGTGTGGGGCTTGAACTCACAACCCTGAGGTCAGGAGTTGTATGTTCTACCAACAACGAGCCAGGCACCCCAGGATATATTGTGTTTTTATCTCAACTTGAGTGTAGAATCTTCTTGCACTGATAGGATAGCACCTTCCCAGTTGGGCAGCATGCACAGAATCATTACTTGTGCTTTCGTTGAGACCTGTCAAGGTTCTGTGTTTATATGCTGATAAATGGCACCCAAGTTTCCAAGTGGCCTGCTTGTGCTATCAACCAGACTTCTTAGTTTAGTTCAGATGCTGGGGAGAAGCAGAGGCTTATGCTAGTTCACACCAGTTCTGCCTCCCTTTATGGAAATTTGTGGAATTGTGGACACTTGCCTTTTGTTTGGAGGAAAGTGGCACTGAACTCTTGGGGTTGGTGCTAAGAGTGGTGAACCTCTCAGGAATCAGTCCCGTGTTGTGCCACAGGGTATCTCTTCATTTTGGCCTTGTCCATTGAGGGCCGAAAAAGTCTGAGCTCAGATGTTTGTGGGCA